ACTGTTTTTGCATAAGTCAATGAAATTTCACGTCGAAGTCTACATATGTGTGCATGGCCGAGTAATTCAGCTTCAAGACTGCAAAGACCAAAGCCTAAAATTTTGGAAGCATAATCCCCGAGATTACAAAGATCCCCATCTCTCTTTTGACATACGAACGAGCACGGAGGAGGTTGTTTCTTCGGACACGTAACTACAGGCGCATTTTGGACCAATATTCTTTTCATTCGGTGATAGTGGTGTTTCACTAGAACTGATTGTTTCACGTCTGATTTGCGGGAGGCGGTCATTGCATCGAAACGGCGAGACTGCTTCCGATTTAGCAAACATTCCAAAGTTACCAGTGTACCTCACTAGAATTTTCCAAGGCAAGCAAGCTGGAGAGAGTCCACACTCATTCATCCAAGTTCCAATCCAGTTTTCGGGAGAATAAGTACGTAACTGAGAGATGACAGTTCATCTGGAAGGAAAGACAACACAGGGCCAAAATTATCGTATCCTGTTTTTCTTAGATTATGACTAACAAGCATACATTCTGAATGCCGGAGGGATGGGATAGCAAGGCAAACAGAAGAAAGAACAGGGCGATGGGGGCAATTTTAGACCGATGTGTTAGATCGTGGTCAGCGCAAGTACTTCCTGCGCATACTAAAGCACATAAGTAAATGCACTGCAGTGTGAGACTGTTTGCTTACAGCAACACATTTTTTCTACGAACTGAAAACTCAGTTTCTTGAGCTCCATATAAAGCATATTTGATGGGCCAAAACGTCAAGACTTTGCACATCCCTAACTATATTTTGATGGCTTCTATGCTAGCATTAGTGTAAAGCGCGCGCGGACTCTTCATTTTTGAGGAAAAACATGTTAAATTTACGCCTCTTAATTTATCTAGGATTTCGGGAAATTTCTGGACAAATTTAAATTAAATTTCTGGGATTAATAGATACCAAAAAACTTCATTTCTCAGTATCTTTTACTGCTTACAATTTCCGCTCCTAAAGTCAAAAGTAGGAACCATTCCGTACTGGCTCTTCAAGGAGAGGCTAAAACACCCCGGAAGTCTTCCGAGGGTAACATACACACCATCAGCAACCACCGGCGAAAGACAATTACTAGAACCCGGCTCGCCCTCGGCCGAGTCCGCTACATGATTTGCAAACGATTTCTCCACATATGCAAGTGTGGTGATGCTGGGGATGGTGTGGTGGTGACAGGAGAGGGATATGTGCGAAGTTTCGGGACGGAGCTGGAGGCATGGGGAAGGGGGTGGTTTGTGGATCGAGTGGATACGTGGCGTGACCATGTAGGGGACAGAAAGGAGGGGGTGATGAGTGGAAAGTAGGAGGCATCCTGCTGAAACAAAAATAATTGACCAACGTCCGGTCTGCCCGTGCGAAGATGCGTTTTTTGCATAGTTCCCCGCAGTTTTTGTCGCTACCTGAATGGTTTTTTGGCAAATGCTTCTAGCTAAACAAATTAAGACTGGCCGCCAGAACCAGCAGGAAACACTTCCTTAAAATTTCAGCTTTCTAGCTTTCCTGGTTCGTGAGTTATTAACTTACCCGAAAAAAATTTTGGCGGGCTCGTACGTGGGTAACATGTGGGCAGGAATCGCCCATTTTGGAGATGGGGGCCCGTACTTGCATGTAGATTAACTCCCCAAAGTTTCAGCCCTGTAGCTTTTGTAGATCTCGAGATGAATTAATCGGGTACAGAGGCCCTGCGCACACACAGACACACACACGAACACACACAGACAACCTCTCTTCAGTATGCGTTTTCCGCATTGCACAGCTGCAAAAAACGCATAAAAAGACGTGGGGGAGGGTAGCAGTGCAAGAGCACATTTTTTCGTTGTGGGATTCGAGGCAGGAAGGAGTTAGGGTAGGTGTGAGGGGGTTAAATGTGCGGGTTCTGCGCGGGAAATTGAGGCAAGAGGAGGGGTTGGGCAGATGAATTGGGTGGATACGCGGCGTGGATCCTTTGGCAATTGCCCAGGCCACGTAAGGAAGAGAGG